GGCCAAGCTAGAGGCTGGCAAGTCAAGGGTTGCAAGTCAGAGTGTGATCAGCCTGCCTGCTCCAAGTATCTTCCCACTAGCCTGCCAAGAGTCCTCTGATCTGGTCTGAAATGTCTTCCCTTAGTGAGTGCTGGCTATTGTGTACATTTTCTTACTTATTCCTCCCAACAACTTTCTGGAGTAGGGAGCACTATTATACCATTTGATAGAGGAGGAAACAGGTTTGCACACTTGTACAAAGTCATGCAGTGAGTTAGCCTAGGAGACTCGACTAGACCACAGCCCACGTTTCCTCCAACAGGCCATGCTGCAGCTCCTCTGCCCGCCCTCCCTGGCTCCTGGAACCCCTTTGCTTGAGTGCATGCACACTCTCACGCACAGGAAGCCAGAAGTGCCTGAGACCTTACCTGCTCCTGAGGCGGCCCATAACAGACTGTCAGCAGGTGCTGGAATATCATTGCTCAGCTTCTTTGCCTCTTGTTGGGACAACCCTGGAGTGTATTCTCCAGTGGACCCCTGCAGGATCAGGCCGAGGTGACTTTATGTATGACCTTTGTTTTGCTTGGCCTCCTCCCCTCCCCATCCTGCCCCTCCACACCTCTAACCCATCACTGGCTCATCAGGATTGCCTTTGGGAATCAAGGTGCCCTGTGAGGCATGGGCTGAGCTGGAGCGCGGTGTTCAGTGACACGTTTCAAGAGAGAATTGTGAAGCTGCATCTAGCAGTGACAGCCCGATCAAGTTCACATGATCCCAAATATCCCAATAATTATGCCACATGGGAAACACGTAGGCCTCAAAAGAGCCACCCCAAAGTGCAAGGCACTAAATTAGACAATTTACAGACCTATCTCATTTAATATTAGAACATCTCTTCATTAGGCTTTTCCCAGTATTCACTGGAATGTTTGTGATCCCCCAGATTCAACAAAATTCACCCTTCACTAATCTTAAAACCACACTCCAGGTGAAGGAGCATTTCTAAGTCTCGCCTCAGAACTGTGGGACTTCGCTGGTATGTTGCCTTGTTTCTATGAAGCATCACCTGACTCCATCATCACTGTCCACCCTCTCCTGTGACATGTTCTGTTTCCATATATTTATCTACATGACATTGATGTGGGTGACATTAACTTTACCCCCCGAGATGATTGCCAATCGGGGTGACCCCAATACCATAGTTCAGGATGGATGCTCTTGAGTTGCGCTATCTAATAGAATGGCTAGTAGCCACATCTGGCTATTGAGTGTTTGAATTAAAGCTGACATGAATTAAGATGTGCTGTAAGTGTAAAATACACATTTTAGGGGGGGATTTGAAGACAATATGGAAAAAAGAATGTAAATTATCTAATGAATAATTTAAAATATTGATTACATGTTGAAATGGTAATATTTGAGGTATACTGGGTCAAGTAAAAAATATTAAAATTAATTTTGTCTCTTTTTACTTTCAAAAAATATGATTACTAGAAAAATTGAAATTATGCACATGGCTCACATTATAGTTCTGTTGGGTAGCATTGACACAGAGATTCAAACAAAGGAAGGTTTAGCAAGTGAGATTGCCCAGCTCCTCTCAGGAAACAGGCTGAGCTGAGAAGAAATTGTGTGATTGTTGAGATGACAGGGTTCTTTATGGGACCAGGAGGCAGCAAGGTGAGTCTACATGACATCATTTAAAAAAGTGCATGTTTTTGCAGATGGGTTTGCACCCCTCTGGCAAAGAGGGTTTGTGGCTGAAGAGAGGGGCTTATAAATTAGTCATTTGCTCAAGTGATATCACTGCTCCTCTGCTACCAGGCTGGGATTTATTAACTTTGCAGAATTCACATGTGCTCTTTCTTTCTTGCTGTCATATTCTTGTGAGTTGAGGGAAGAGGGAAGAGGAGGCTGGAGAGAAAGGTAGGAGAATTATTGTAGAAACCACAAGGATGGGTGAAAAAGGACAGACATAGACCCTAGGGAGAAGATCTCATGGGCTAAAACAAAAGGTTAAAAAGTCAGCTAGTCAAGGGATTTCTCTCTCTTTCTCTCTCTTTTTCTTAATCTCTTTTTTTCTGGGAGTCTTTTGACTTTTTGATGCTTGTTCCTGGGAAACCACAAGTAGTCACCTCCTTTTTGCAGATTAGGAAATGGGGGAGAGAAACTGCTGAGTGATTTCCAGAGAGACATAGCAGGGGTAGGAAAGGGAGGAGGAGCAAAATGTAGTAGTATGATCCCCTCTGTGCTGGGACAGAGGTCCCAGTTTTGGGAGGGAAAGCCATTCTGTCACCAGGGTGCTACTCTGGGGCCTTTCCATTTCAATGACTTGGCTGGGAGATAATGGCTCTTTAAGGCTCCTGTTCATGTGTCTGCAGTTTAGAAGGTCCAGAGACAACTGGAGAAGTTCCCTAGCAGTGTGGCCACTGCATCAATTTGTACAGTTTCTGGGAAAAGGCTGTGCCATTGTTACAAGCATACCAGCTCTGTTTGCATGCAGTAAATGCTTGACTCCAGAGGCAGTGATCACCAGCAAATTAAACTGACAACACACTTACTAAAAAATGTGCTTTTTGAGACCTGCCTTTCCTTATAAACCTTCAATGGCTTCCCACTGCCCACTAAATAAAACCTAACTCCCTAGCCTCCCTCCGGTGCCCTCAAAACCTAACTCCCTAGCCTCCCTCCGGTGCCCTCACATTCAGGACCCAGGTTATCTGTCCAGACTGATCTCTCACCACCCATCTCATCCCCTGAGTTCCAGACAAACCACACGTCTGCTGGATCCTCTATGTACCCTGCATGTTTACACCTACTTACGGTGTTTATGACCTAAAAGTCCTACCCATCTTCATGCATCGCCCTTCGCCTTCTCCATGAGCAGCCGTTCCTGGTCCCACAGCGCTTTGTGGGGCTTTCATGGCCCTTGCAGATTATTATTTATGCACATGTGTCTCTGCCAGATTGGGAACCACTAGGGGCTGGGGTAGAGACTGTGTCTATTAGCCTGGGCTGCCAGAACAAAATACCATAGATTGTGTGACTTAAACAACAAAACATATATTTTCTCATGATTTTAGAGTCTGAAAGTCCAAGATCAGGGTGCCAGCACAGTTGGTTTCTGGCGTGAACTCTCTTGCTTATTGCTGGCCACTGTGTGCTCACATGGCAGAGAGGGAGAAAGTGTTGTTCTCTCTTCTTACGAAGACACCAGTCCCATTGGATTGGGGCCCCACCCTTATGACCTCATTTAACTTTAATTGCTCCCTAAAAGCCATATCTACACAAAATAGTCAAATGGGGGCCAGTGGCAGTGGTTAGAGCTTAAACACAAGAACTTTTGAGGGACACAATTAAGTCCAGAGACTGCCTGACATTTAGATCCCTTCCAGCCCTCACCCAGTATTCTGTACGGAGTGGATGCTCAGTAAATGCCTAGTGAATTGAAAGAAATCGAATTCCTGAGTCTCCATGGAGTTGTTTTCATAACGTGTGCTGTCCCAGTCTGTGGGGCTGCTGGGGTCCCACTGCCTTGGGGAGGGCAAGAGAGAGTGAACAGGTTTTTGTAGGAATGGGACTGAAGGAATTTTCTCAGGCACAGCTATGAAGGATCAGCCTTGTGAACTTACCATCTATGGTTGAGAATGTTGTGAGGCTGCTGTGCATCCCTAAGAGAAATTACATCTAGCTTTTAGTGCTAAGAACAATAGCAATTCTTCTGAGCATTTGGATTTGTTTTTAAAAAATGACCTCGTATAAAATGAGGGTTGTGAATTGTGTAACTGACTAGATGGTCTCTCTTGCACTGGCCAAGCAGGCCCATCTGTAATGATAGTGCAGTGGACATTGTGATGGACACTTCTAGCCTCACTCATTGTCCCCACTCATGTTCTTTATCTTCTTCCCTTCCTACTGAAAATGTCTGTAGTCTCACTATATTTTAGATACCTTTTAAGTTTTCAGAGCTCCAGAAATCTCTTCAGAAGCATAGTAGGGCTTAAATGCAGTTTAAAAATCAATAAAATGGCTCATACATTACCTGAGAGGGGTCAACAGTTCAAATATCAAAGTCCAAGAAGCATGATAAATTCCATATGAGCCTGGCAGGGGGTGAAAAAAATCTCTCTATCTCTACTTATCTATTAATCATTGAGCTATTAATATAGCTACTTATCTATCAATCATTATAATAAACTTTAAAAAAGCCATTAAATATGAGAAAACTGAAGCTCATAGAGATTAAATAATATGTCCAAGTTTTGAGCTGGTAGAGCCGGTGTTCAAATCATAGTCACTTTGATGTCAAAACCTGCATCCTCTCCATCCTGTTGCTCTGCTTGCAGGATAAAGACTGAGTATCCAGAAGGCCAGTGCTGGGAGGGAGCAGGAAAGGTGTAGTCCAGAGGCGAGACAGGGCCATGGTTCTGGGAGTTCTGTCCTGGGATAAGGTGATTCAATCCTCCCAGTTGCAACTGGGAAACCACAGACTGGGGCCCAGCTTCTGGGATGAGAGGCAGTGTCAGGAACCACCTGTGTTACTGGAGAGCATCTGGGCCCCAGTGGATCACCAGGCTCCTGGCCAGAGGAAAGCTGGGGTGAGAAGTGAGAGCTGAGTCAGAAGCCCTGTTTTTGGGTGCTGGCAGTTGAGAAAGAAAGTACAGATGAGGCTTCGGAGTCCCCACAAGCCCCTAGAAGAATCCCCAGCACTTTGAGACAATAAAGTAGTCCTTTGGGTCAATAAAACAGTTCTAGATTCCACAAGCTGTGCCAGTAGGGTCCCTACTGTCCCTTCGTATTTGGTACCCCCATGGGGACCACAGTTGGGCACAGTAAAGGAGGACAGTTCAATTCAGTAAGCAATGATGGAAGGTCTGGTGTGTTCTGGGTGGTGGAGGAACAGAGAGCAATCATTCTGGGTCCTGACCTTGGGAACCTGGGGCAGAGAGGTGTGAAGGGGTCAGTTTAGAATTGAAACCACGGGGCATGGTGGGACTCACAGTCACACATCTGTCTTCCAGGGCCATGTTCTGCAATGATTTAAAGGAAAAGTATGAGAAGAGAATCATTATCAAAGGGGTCGATGCTGAGACCATGCACACTCTTCTGGACTACACGTACACCAGCAAGGCACTGATCACCAAGCAGAACGTCCAGCGGGTCCTGGAAGCTGCTAACCTCTTCCAGGTGTGTGAACAAACAGGCACAGTGCTCTCCTCTGGGGCATGGGAAAGCAGAGATTGCCCAGAGACCTGCCTGCACTGGCCCCCAGGCAGGTACCTGGGACACATGCACACATGCACACGTAACTGGGCCTTGCTTGCTTGAAAGTCAGGAGATGCTCCTTCAGAAATTTCCCAAGAGGTGGTGAGATGTGGCATTGAATCCTTAATTGAAGCCAGGAAGCATGGTGTCTAGATTCTACTAAGGCGTCTGACTCCGAAAACAACGATGACAATTTGCAGAAGCCTAACTGGAGTTAGGGGCTGCAGTCCCCAATTCATATACATAACTTCTGGTCCTTAGCACGTGCTGGGGAGACAGCTACTTTTCCCCATTTTACAGTGGGAAAGTAAGGCCCACAGAGGATAAGTGACATGAGTGCGAATTGAAGCCTAGGCTTTCGGAGTTCAGGGAGCACATGCTTGCTGCTCGATCACGCAGTCTCTCTGGGAACAGTGTCTACATTCTGGGGGATGCAGGAACTTAATCGGTCAGCAGTTAGTGGTGGGTGTGAAAGAAGAGCACTTCTCATGAGGAGTTTAACAGAAGACACAACAGAGAACCTTAAGAACTAAGTTTTATTGTTTCCATTTGACTATGTTTGTTTCAGTCTGATTATAATTATATTTAGCTTCATAGAATAATTACACCATAGATTCTGTCAGTTGCATCTGCAGTTATCATAGGGCTCCCAAATTACCATCTTTTCCTAGGTCTGAAATTACACCTTAAACTTGGTTCCATTGGGTTAAGACAGAGATTGTCTCATGGAGGATGTTGAGAGTTATGATAAACAGAGTCCAAGTCATTCTCAGGGACTGGGTCAAGCATCAGATCTTGTACACGGTTTGGGATTTGGGGAGGTGGTGTCCTCTTGGATCATCAGTGGGTCCGTAGTTGAGAGGAACAGAAAACAAAGTCTGGGAAGGTGGGGAATGAGGGGTTCAGGGTCAAGGCCATGGGCAATGGGATTATCTTTATTGAGGCTGGAGTCTAGGCAGGATTTCTGAAGTCCAACAAGGAAAGCAGGGTGGCAAGAGGGAGGCAAGTCAACTGTAAAGCAGCACTGATGAACTTGAGGCGGTAGTTTGCTGCAGCATTAGCCCATTTATTGTCTCAGTTTCTTCCTCGGGGTATTTAAAAGATACAGAGCAAGTTGCCTTCAGTAGGGCTGCTCATGCCTTATCTGGTGATGGGTACAAGTCAATTACCACCCCCACATACCCCTGCCCATTTCTCTGTCCTTCCTGCTCACACCTTCAGCCTTACTGACAGCAGAGAAACTATCCTCATTATATGGAAGGAGGAGCTCAGCCACCCCATGCCTAGCAGCCCCATCTCATTCCTCCCACCCATGACTCTAACAACCTAACTTCAGGGAAAGCTTCCCACGTCACAGAAGGGCCTCTGTCTAGTTCAGCTTTTATGCTCTTTCTGAACCCTCTCTTAAAAGGTTCAATATTCCCTCTGCCCCTACCCCACCTTTCCCAAAAGGGCCAATAACCTTGAGCAGAATCACCTGTTCACCATTATTCAATTAAGCTGCAGTTGCCATTGCTATCTCCATGCTAATCTCCTTTCCTGGGACCAGAGAGGGTTGCTGACTTGTCTGAAGACAGACAGGTAACACTGGCAATTGTAATAGTAATAGCATTTATTACTTCATGTATTGTGTCTGATATCAAAATAGTTGCCCAATGAATACAAATTTTATTGAGCACTTAATATATGCCAGGAGTGACAAGGTTGGAACAAGAACAGGTCTCCTTTTTTTCCCACTAGCTGAGCAGGTCCTATATGATAGGGTAAGAAGATAGGTTTTGTTTCTCAAAATGCAGTTTTTAATATTTTTAAGTTGCAATAACATTACAAACTCATTACAGAAAAATCAGAAGCCCATAAAGAACATAAAAATTATCTACAATCCCCTCCTATTCAGAGATAGTATGCCAGTTTCCTTGGTATATGTACTTCTGAGTCCTCTTCTACATTGATTTGTACAGAGGCAGCTAGCAGGGTTGGCAATAGTGCAGTTTGGAGCCAGACTGCTGAATTTAAATCCCAGATCCACTGCTTACCAGCTGTGTGACTTTGGGAGAGTTTTATCATTTCTTTGTGTAACAGCTTCCTTAACTGTAAAATGGAGATGATAATAGGACCTAATGCATAGAGTTGCTGTGATATTTGTAAAGTGTTTGAAACAGTACCTGGTACATTGTAAATGCTACAAATATGTTTGTAATATTATTACCTACTACATATATAGTTTAGAAAAATGGGCTTCTATTGGACACACTGCTTTTAGTCTGTTTGTTTTACCTGGATTATATGGTAATCATCTTTTCATGTCAATAGGTGACATGAAAAGTGCCCATAATGGTACTTATAATAGCTGAATGTAACTCAATGTTATAATAATTTAGTGAGTAAATCCCTATCACTGAAATTTTAGATTGTTTTCATCTACTTGACTATTCAAAACAACATTGTCATAAACATTCTTTTACTCTTACTTCATATGGGTGAGATGAACGTCCTCATGTAAATAAAATGAACTAAGAACATGAACAGGTAATTTACAAAAAAGGAAGATCAAATGATGAAAAAAATGTACTTTTAAATGCCAAACATCATTAGTAATCTAAAAAGCAAATTAAGTCAACCATAAAATAACATTTTGTCTATTGTGTTAGCCAATAATATGTACAATGTAATATTCAATCTTTGCAAAAACAAGGGAAAATAGACACTTTCATTCATTGTTGGTGGAAGTGTAAATGGAAACTTCTTCCTGGATAGATACTTTTAAGATGCACATGATAAATAAATAATTAAGGAAGTTCAGTGCATTTCATATGAGTAGCTGAGTGGGTTAAATTGTGTCTCCAAGATATGTCAAAGTCCTAACCCCTGGTACCTGTGAATGTGATCTTATTTTGAAATAGGGTCTTTGCCTTTGCAATCCAATGATGGTGTCCTTATAGGAGAAAGGAGAGGGGGATTTGATAGAGACGCAAAGAGAAGAAGCTCATATGAAGCATAGACAGAGACTGGAGTAATGCAGCCCCAAACCAAAGAACATCAAGGATTGCCAACAGCCACCAGAAGCTAGGAGAGAGACATGGACAGGAATCTCCCTCAGAGCCTCCAGGGAGAACCAGCCCTGCTGACAACTTGATTTCAGACCTCTGACCACCAGAACTGTGAGAGAATAAATTTCTGGTTGGTTGAGTTGCCAAGTTTATGGTAATTTTTATGGCAGCTGTAGGGCACTAATATCATCTTAAGCCAACCACAGCTAAAAGCCTTAATGCAAAAAGCAGCAATCTCCTTCCTATTCCCACTCTCTCCTTTAGTAACCCACTCTTCTAGAGCAATTGCTTTCACTTGTTTTGAAATGTTTCTTCTATTTATTTCCATATGTGTAAATGATTTGTGTACATTGCTATCCCTTGATGTGTTGATTTTTAGATAACTTCTTTTCCCTTTGTCCTCCTGCTTTAATCTTAACTGGTTGCTCCCTAGCCTGCTGCATAGCTGTTCTCTTGGGACTTCCCATTGCTGTTATCCTGGGTGTTCCTCTTAACTATTTTCTATTTTGGATTTTCTCTTCCTGAAGAGGTCTTCTTCTTTCTTATATATGCCTACATTTTAGTGGGTCACAACTTTTAATAGCTTATGATGAGAGTATATAAGAGATAAATTGTTGGAGACTTAAATGTCTGAAAAATGTTCTTGTTATACCTTCTCATTGATATTTGGCTGGATATAAATTTAGCATTAAAAATAATTTTCTTTTGACATTTTAAAGGCATTGCTCCATATTATTACCTATTATATACATATTTTATAAGAATGCGTTCCTATTGGACACATGTTCTTTAATCTGTTTATTTCACCTGTATTGTATTGTAATCATTTTTTTTATGTCAATAGATCCATGGCTGCAATAGCAGGTCTTTTTCATTCATTGTGTTGGTTCTTTCAATTTGAAGACTCATGTTTTTTAGTTCTTAGAAATTTTCTTATATTATCTTTTACTTTCCACTATTTTATTCTCTCATTTGGAGTTATTATTAGGTGTTGGACATCCTGGATTTATTTATTTTTAACCTTTATTTTTTCTTACTTCTTTCTCTTATTTACCATCTCCAGCCTTTTTTTCCTACTTTCTGGGAGAGTTAGTCAACTTTATCCTTTCAACTCTTCTGTGAATTTAAAATTTCTGCCACCACATCCTTAGTTTCTAAAAGACCTTGTTATTTGTTTTAGTAGATTCCAACTCTTGAAGCTGTTATTATATATATGAAGTTTTCTTCTGCTCCCTCTCTTTCGTTTGAGTTTATTTACTCTGTTGGTTTACTTAGGTCTCCAAATTTCATCTTTGAGGGTGTATCACTTTCCTAGGCTTGCCAAAATAACAAATTACCACAAACTGGGTTGTTCAAAACAACAGAAACTTGTTTTCTCAAAGTACTAGAGGCCTGGAGCCCAAAAGTCCAAGGTGTCAGCAAGGTCTCTGGAGGATCAAGAGGAGAATCTGTTCTTTGCCTCTTCCAGTTTCTGGTGGCTGCTGGAACTTCTTCACTGTGGCCTCCCACTCCAGTCTCTGCAGTTATGGTCACATTGCTTCCTCATCTTCTGTATGTCTGTGTTTTATAAAGATACATGTGACTGCATTGGGGCCCACCCAGAGAATGTCCTCCTCTCAAGATCCTTAAATTAATCATATCTTATGTGATATAAAGTAACATTCACCCTTTTGCCATATAAGGTAATATCACAGGTTCTAGGGATTATTATGTGGACATACCTTTTTTGGGGTCCACCATTCAACCACTACAGAGGGTTTTCTCAAATGCCCTTTTGATGATGTGATCCTTGGCTGTCCAGTCATTTTTAAGATTGAGGCTTTAATATGCTGGTTTGAAGCATGTGCACATGGAGTAGGACAGAAGGCTGGT